ACTCATTAACCCAGGATCAGAGAAGAATAAACAAGAGACAAAGGAAACAAAAGTGCTATATTTTCACATCTCACATATTAAAAATATAAGTTGCAATAGAGATTCATGATCATGTACAATCCTCTTTTTCTGTTCTTTGTACATGGAAATGTTCATTGGTGTTTGACAAGTTCAGAATAACCAAACTTTTTTTTATATTTGAAGAATGGTTTGTATATAGACTTTTATATGTGTACGCATGTACATGTGTACATTATATATGTATGTATGTATGTATGTATGTATATATATATATATGCAGTCCTCCTTTTTCCTGTAATTTGTATATGTAAATGGTCATCTTAGTTGATGTTTATCTCAGCCCCCCAAAAACCTATTTCTTTCTCCTCTCAGGACACTTACAGATTTTTCATATTCAGATGTTTTCCTTGGTTTCTGGGATTTTTGTTTGTTCAATTTCATAATAATAAAAAGGTATTACAAAATCAAGGACGGCAAGTACTTTGCTGAAATCCTTATATTCTGTGTTCATAGAATTTCCCTGATCTATTATTCTAGAAACCCTCTCAAAAATGGAAATGAGGTTAGTACAGCATGATATGTCCTTAATGTCCCCATATTGGTTCTTAGTAATTACGTCTTCCCTTTCCAGGTGCTCCCAAACTATTCCTTTAATAATTTATTCTAGAATTTTTCTAGTCAAGCCCATTGCCCTATAGTTTGAAGTAGCCATATTCTTTCACTTCTTTGGAAATCAGGACTTTAGAGGAATGCAGTGCTTCTCCAGTTCACATTCTCCCCCCCAAAAATCTCTGATGGCAACTCAGCAGTCAACAGTAGAAAGTTCTTTTAGCTCCTAAGCCATAATTTATCTGCCAGAACATGGCAGATACACCTGGCCAGAGCACCTTATTTGCTGCTCCTCCATCATCTTTGGATTCACTTCTCTGTTGGCCATTTTTGTTCTTGGTCTGAAGAGAATTCATGCTTTTTTGTAGATCACATGAAATCTACATAGGAGTTGACTAGTTCTTCCTTTTCTCCTCTTTTTTATCATCTTCCTACCCATTCCTAATCTTCCTCTTTCCCCCAACAGAGTTCAAGAAACCCTATTTTTCAACCTTTCCTACTTCTAACCACACACACACACACACACACACACACACACACACACACAATTTCTGGTAGGACCAACCTTAGGTAAATGTTGAAGCACAATATACCATACTGTTTCCTCTAATAGTAAGACCCCAAGAAATATTTAAGTCAAGAAGTGAAATATTCAAATGCTCCTCTTGTAATAGGAATGATGTCTCTCTCCAGCCCCTACTTCTGGAATTAAAGTACCTGGGTCATTTACTATGCATTTGGGGCGGGGGTTATGGTAATTTTTTTCCATGGTTCTAAGGCTCCCAGAATATTTGCTTTTGTGTTCTTCATTTAGAAGCTGCAGTTGTGTGAACATCAATTGCCAGACATTGCTGGTGATATACTGTCCTCTAGTGGCCTAAAGTCCAAAATCAACTTGCTATCATTTTGGGATATATAGAGCTTTCAAACCTTGTTAACTATTTTTTTTATAGTCTTTATTTTAGCCTTCTGTCTCTCACTCTTAATTTTTTTCTGTCTGGGTATAGGCTTCATCCCTACTCCTAAGAACTCTCACCATCCAAGCCAGCCCTAGACGAAACTGGGAAGTAAATGAGCTTTGTATTAATTACCACTAGTTTTCCTTATTTCTCTCTTAGTGAAAGCTTCTCTTGGAACATAATGTCTTTAGCTTTTCTCATCTATTCTTCTATCAAAACCTGCTTTCACACTAAGATAGAAATGATAAACTTACAGGATCCTAGAGTTGTGTGGGGCCATAGAGGACATCTACTCCAACTTCCTATTTTTTTATTAATTTATTTTGATTTATCAACAATCACTTCCATAAGCTTGAGTTTTAAATTTTTCTCGCCCTCCCTCCCCACCTCCCTCCCCAAGATGGTGTGCAATATGATATGGGCTATACATATACATTCCTAGTAAATACATTTTCACATTAGTGATGTTGTAAGGAAGAATTAGAACCAATAGGAAGAACCACAAGAAAGAGAAAACAAAACAGAAAAAAAAAGAGCAAATAGTATGCTTTGATCTGCATTCAAACTCCATAGTTCTTTCTTTGAATATGGATAGCATTTTCCATCATGAGACCTTTGGAGATGTCTTAGATTCTTGCAATTGCTGGGAAGGGCTAAGTCTATCAACATTAGTCATGCAACAATGAGGCTGTTACTGTGTACAACATTCTCCTGGTTCTGCTCACTTCACTCAGCATCAGTCCATACAAGTCTTTCCAGGTTTTTCTGAAGTCTGCCTGCTCATCATTTCTTATAGCACAATTCCAATTTCCTATTGAATGCAGGATTTCATCCACAAGATCCCAGCAAGGAGACCCTGGTGTCACGCAAGGCAAGGTAGTCCATTGCTAGATAGCTCTCATTGCTAATAAGTGCTTTCTTAAATTAAGCCAAAGCCTCCTGCCTTCTAACTTCCATCACCTGGACTTAGTCCTACCCTCTGGAATGATGCAAAATAGGTTGAATCTCACTTCCAAATAGCAAACATTTAAAGACAGTAATCATGTACCCGCTTCCCCAAATTCTTTCTTCTCCAGGCTAAATATCTCTATTTTTAGCCACTATTGTACATAACACATGGTCCCCAGATCATTTCCCAACTTGGTTGACCTTTTCTGAATGAACTCCCACTTGTCAACAAACCTTTGAAAACATGGCATCCGGAGCAACCCAACACAGTTCCCCATCAGCCAGGCTGCTCTTTGCTACTATAACTATGCTAGACTTAACTCTAATGATTTCCTTTTTGGTATTTGTGTTCAGCACAGAAAAGATAATGATCTTTAGGACCCTTTCAACCAATCCTGATGACTGGGTCCACTATAAATTTATTATTATTTAACCTCAAGGCTGTACAACATTCTTTTTATTCTTGCCTGATTCATTTACTCTCCTCACAAAAGCTATTCCAAATCTTTTCTCTCCCTACTTCCACCCTCAGACAACCTATCTCCTACTTTGCTAAGAAAATAATATATTTTCCCTCATTCGATAAATAAAAAAATCAACAAGCACTTATTAAGCTATGCACCAGACTCAGGATACAAAGGATTAATGCTCAGGATACAAAAACAGCAGAGAAACAGTCCTTGACCTCATGGGAGGCTTTTGCTCTGTCTCTTCACAGAGAAATTCTTAGGAAAAAAGTCATCTCTACTCATCTCCCACTTACTTCTCTTACCTTTTTTTGGGGGGGGGGTGCAATTAGTTAAGTGACTTGCCCAGGGTCACACAGCTAGAATCTGAGGCTGGATTTGAATTCAAGTCATCCCAACTCGAGGGCCAGTCTTCTATCCATTACACCGCCTAACCACTTTCTTGTACTTCTCAATTCCCTTCAGTCTGGCTTCCAACCCCATCAGCTAGCTGAAACTATTTTCTCCAAGGTTATCAATGATTTTTTTTTCTTCTTTTTTTGGTTAGGCAATGGCGTTAAGTGACTTGCCCAGGGTCACACAACTAGTAAATGTTATGTGTCTGAGACCAGTTTTGAACTCAGGACCTCCTGACTCCAAGGCTGGAGCTTTATACACTGCATCACCTAGCTGCCCCAATGATTTTTAAAATCATTAAATTTTATGGCCTTTTCTCAGTTCTGACTCTTCTTGATCTCTCTGCAGCACCTGACACCATTGACTTTTCCTTCCTTTTGGATACTACTTTGCTTTCTACAGGTTCTTCTCTTACCTGATCACTCCTCAGTCTTCTGTGCTAGACAGAAAGAGCAAATAGATGAGTTTGGGAAACAGCTCACAAGCCTAGCACAGAGACATGGTGTAGCAGTGACCAATTTCATCCTTTGCACATTTGTTGGAGCTCTCTCTCTCAGCCAAAAGAATGGCTAATAACTTCTTCCCTTAGCTTAATGATAGTTTCATCCCAAAAAGGTAAAGAAATGAACAAGGGAAAACTTTCTTCTGGAGATGTATTTCACTGATAGAGGAGAACTGCTTATTGATGTGGAAATGATGTGAATCTTTGCAGGAAAAGACCACTGCTTTCTAGAGTTTGTGATAGAAAAGAAAAAATCTGGGCATAGTCTGTACTTGAGATTTTGGAAAAGCCAATTCCAAAAGGTGCACAGGAAGGTTAGGTGGGATGCTATGAACTAATATTTTACAGGGGAAAATGAGATGCTCATGAAATTCTAAAGACATAAAAAGAAGACAACACCTAGGTTGCAAGCCTAGAGAACTAGGGACTATGTCTTCAATAGGACATCCATATATATCTATGTCTACATCTATATCTATATCACCATCTATAGGATGTCTGACAGTATCTAGTTGGAGGTGTGAGGTTGGCAGAAAGGTTAGGTTTGGATAAATAGATTTGTGAATCATTAGCATAGACATAGTTGAACTGTACATATATATACAGTTCAACTATATATAGTTGATGAGATCCCCAAGTGAAATAATATGGAGGGAGAACAGGACATAGGACAGAACCTTGTGGGATGTATAATTACTCTTAATATGTTAATGGGCATCAACTGGATGAAGATCCAGCAAAGGAGACTGAGGAGGGCTCAGATAAATAGAACCAGGAGAGTGTCCTGAGAACCTGAGAGTATTAAGAAGAGGGTGATTGAGTGTCAAAGGCTGCAGAAAAGTCAAGAAGGATGACTAGGTTCAAATCTTTCATTTGATGCTTATTACCTCTGTGACAAAGGGCAAGTCACTTAACTAATCTTGTCCTCAGTTTCCTCATCTGTCAAATGAGAGGACTGAGATGGCCTCTGAGGCCCCTTCCAACTCTATATCAGCAAGTTATTCTGTTTGTATGAAAAGATCAATAAAATGGCAAAACAAGTAATCTAAAAATCCCCACAACGTTTTTAATAAACAAAATAGGTATGAAGTCAACATAATCTTTAAGAGTAGATATTATATAGAACACACTAACATGGATTTATCTTATCCAGAGAGGAAAATGAAATATAATTTGTAGAATTCATGAAGTTCATTTTACACTCATTATTGAACAGTTCATTTTCTATGGCACATAATTTGTAACTCAATCTTCAAGAAATAAGCATTTATTCAACAAATAAACACATAAAAATAAAATTATTAACCAAAATTATAGTGTAGTTACAATAAGGTTATGAGGTATATTAGGAGTAATTATACATCTGTTTTTAATGTTAAACATTTTTACTTTTAAACTTTACAGTGCTCTAATAGGCTATGTTTGAATGTTACAAAGAGTGAAACATTTCTCCCATTTCCTATAAAAAGTGTGGGACTTCTGTTTAAACACACTATATATAGCACCTGTGCATTAAATAAGAAAATTAGATAAATCAATGTCATGCTGTATCTTGTATGATGTATATTGTTAAATGCTCTAATTATAAGTCAAAGATTTAACAACAATTAGTTATTATATAATGTGCCTGAAGGCTAAATTGTTAACCATTTTATTTTAAATTTACAAAGGAAATAAAAAGATTCAACAGAAAAAAGTGATTCTTTGGGCAGATATGAACAAAACTGTCAGTACATACATTCTAAATTTCCCCTCAGCACAGTGAGCACAATAGGACATTTGTCTTTCTAAAGGAGTTTGACAATGATGTTGTGTGTAGCACACACTGACTAATGCTTTTAATAAAGACTAAAGGAATATGAGTAATTCTGACCACCAGTTTAGCTCTTCTTTAAAGATGGAATTAGAGGGGCAACAGCTGTGCTTAAGAATATTAAATCAATGACTGGGTGTGCAACTGAGTCAGATACAACAGATTATCCAGTGCAAGCGGAAAGCTTCTTTCTCTCTTCAAATTGTTTGTCCACTACAAGTGAAAGGGCCTGGAGGAAGCCTTCTACTGAAATGGTCGGTGTCTAGAAGCAAACAACAGAGTACCATTAGGTCAAAATAGATCAAAATATAAAAACTCCTGGTTTTTTCTAGCAGTCACATATCAGGCAACCTTAATACTCTGGAACAGGGGTGGGACACCTGTGCCTCAAGGCCACCTGTGGTCTTCTAAGTCCTCGGGTGTAGCCTTTTGACTGTGTCCAAGTTTGACAGAACAAATCCTTTTATTAAGCAGATTTGTTCTGTGAACTTTGGATTCAGTCAAAGGGCTGCACTTGAAGACCTAGAGGGCCACAGGTGACCTAGGGGCACAGGTGTCCCACCCCTGCTCTGGAACATAAGTGAGGAAAATGCAAAAGAGACTTTTAAATAGTCAAAATGTATGTTATAAACCACATATTTTAGTTAAATAACTATTTTTTGCCATGTCTTAGGCACTGGGGATACAAATACAAATGTGACCCCACCTCCAAGGAACTTATTCTCCTGGGGGGAGAAGACACACAACATTCACATATAAGAAAATACAGACTATACACAAGTATGCTCATAGATACATGTACACACACATACGTATATGCCCCCACACACATGAAAGTAATGGGGGGATGGTAACCAACAACTGGGCTAAACCTGGAAAGATTTCTTGAAGAAGTCATGACTTGAACTGGGCCTTAAAGGGAGCTTGGAGTTCCAAGGGGAAAAGGCGAAGAGGGAGAGCATTCCAGGCATGAGGTGACTGCCTGCCTTTGCACAGGTGTGGAGGCAGGAGATTTCTATCAGGAATGTCTAGCACACCATTAGGGCTGGGGTGAGCAGTGAGGCAGGAGAAGTACCACACGGTCAGCCTAGAGGGGCAGGATGGATCCAGGCTGTGAAGATCTACAAACAAAGGAGTTTCTGTTTCATTCCTGGGGCAATGGGAAGCCCCTGGAGTTTCTTGACCAAGGTCAGACCTGTGCTTCATGAACACTAATCTGGTGGCTACTCTATCTGGAGGACAGATTGAAAGGGCAGATGTTGGATGTAGGGAGACTAAATAGGAGGCTATTTTAACAGACAAGGAAATAGGTGATGAGGACGTTACCAACTAGGGTCACTATGATGTGAAGAGAGAATGGGACAGATGGTAAAGGTATTGAAGAAGTGCAACTGACAAAACTTGGCAACTGCTTGAATATGAGGGCACATGACAATGAAGAGACAAAGATGACACCTAGGATGCAAACTTGGATTACTGGAAGAATGGTTCCCTAAACAAACAAACAAACAAAACAAAAAAAACCCAGAAAGGTAGAAGAAGAGTAGGGTTGGGGGGGAGGGGATAATGAATTTAGGTTTTGGAAACAATGAGTTTGAGATACCAATGGAACTGTTTAAGAGGTGGTTGGTGATATGTGCTTGTAGCTTAGAAAAGAAATGAGGGCTGGATATGTAAACATAGGGGTTATGTGCACAGAGATGACCGCTGAATCTGTGGGCATTGCTGAAATCATCAAAGGAATGGGAAAGGAACAAGCATTTATAAAGCGCCTATTATGAGCCTGCTTTACAAACATTTTCTCATTTGGTCCACGCAACAACCTTGCAAGATAGGTACTATTATTATCCTCATTTTATAATTGGGGAAACTGAGACAGAAGAGGTAAAATGACTTGCCCATAGTCACACAGCTACTAAGTGTCTGATGCCAGATTTTAACTCAGATCTTTCTGACTCCAAGCCCAATGCGCTCTCTGCTGCATCCCCAAATGACTCTTAGGGTATAGACAGAAGAGGAGAGAGGCCAGGAAAGAGCTGTGGGTTACACATAAAATTAGGGGACGACACACGGAGGATGATCCTACAAAGGAGACTGAAGACTAGCAGGAAAAGGACTATGACAGAGTACTGTCACAAAAACCCAGGGAGGAGGGGATCCACAGTGAGGAAGTGGTCAATAGTTCCTAAAACAAACTATAGAGATGAAGAAGGATGAAACCTGAGGAAAGGTCAATGGAGTTAGCCAAAGAGGTCCCTGGTGACCTTGGTAGGTGTAAAAGCCAGAGTGCAAGGGGTTAAGAAGAGAATGGGAGGTGGAAGAGTGGAGGCAACAAAGACATGGCTTCTTCTAGGAGTTTGGCTATGAAAGGAAAGAGACACATAGGGCAATAATTCAAATTTTTTTTTTAAGGATAGGTAAAAATGTTTGCAGGCAGCAGGAAAAATCAGTTTATGAAGAAGGCTAAATATAAAGAAGGGAAAGAGGAATGATTAAAAGGACACCAGCAAGGTGAAGATTCATCTCATTTTCTGAGGCTGAAACAAAAGGAAGAGAGAGAATGAGAAATGATGGTGAGGGGATTTCAAGTGTGGAAGGGGGGAGGACATCGCGTTCATGAGGGATGGTCTCAATTTTGCCAGCGAAGGTCCTCTGCTAAAAGGGAAGTGGGAAGAGGGAATGCAGCAGGAGAGGAGAGGGGCATGAGATGATAAAATGACAACCCCAATGAGATTGGACGACCTGGGTTTGTGCTGGACCCAGGCCATAACCATGTAATGTGACCTCCTCTAATGGCATTCTACAGCAGGTGAACAGGAATGAAGGATGATGGTGGAAGTGATCTACTGTTGGGGTCTGGAAAGAGATGAGTGGCAGCAGCACAATGCAGCTAGGGATTCAAGGGTGGTAAAAGTCAGCCTGAGACGAATTTATACAGGGTAAAAGTAATGACTAAACTTAGAGTACAAGGCAAAGAAAACACTTTGTAAGCAATATTTAGCTGTTAATCATCTTTTCAGACTTAAGCTATAGTTACTTAGGGCAAACTAGCAGGTAATCATGCAAATACAACTCCTACACTGGCCTGGCAAAGTGGCTGAAAATCCAGCACCAGACATTTCGGTCACTGGGTTATGACATTATATCCAAGAATCCCATTTAAATGCCTGGGGGAGCGGTGGTAATTTTAATTAACAACTATTTCCTGAGCTCTTAGCATTTTCCAGTACTGTACCAGGCCCTTTTAGAGTACCAACAGACATGTAAGAAAATTCCTTTTACTGTTAGTGGTACTTAATAAAAACTCGTTGACTCCAGGAAGAGGTTCTGATAAAGGATGCAAGAGAGAGACTGCATCCTGGTTAGAGAGAACAACTATGGGAAGGTGGGGGGACAGGAGATAAAGCGTCAAGTTCAGGGAGCCGTTCACATGCCAACTGGCTAGAACCCAGAATAAATGTACGGAAGGGCTATGAAATGAGTGCAGAGAAGGGCTATGCAATAAGTCAGGAAAGGAAGCCAGGAGCCAAATTATGAAGGGAGGGCTTTAAATTCCAATTAGAATTTGATAAAGAAAGGGAAGGCAAGCCACAGAGAATGCTAGAGGCCCTTATGCTGATTGGAAAGAGACTATCAGAGGTGTCATGGATGTGAGCTACAGAGAGGAAAACTGCAGTTGAACATAAAGCTTAAGTTTCTAACAATTAGAACTATCCAAAACCAAAATGGGCTGTCTGAGAGAGACCTGAATTTTTCATCTTCAAGCAAAGGCTGGATAATGACTCATCAGGGATATTATAAAGGGGTTCATGATGCAGGCAGGGACTAGATCAGATGACCTTTGAAGACCCTTCCATCTCTAAGATTCTATGATTCTAAGTCCTGAGCCTAAGATACTATGGAGAGGGCAGACCCTGTTATAGGAAGAAAAGTTTACTCTAAGTAAATTTAACTCACTTCACATTTTTCCTAGGCCCAACCTTGCTGTCAGGCATGACTAGTAAAGATTTTACATTTGGCAGAATTATTGCCTTTGCCATTAACATGTCTTCAAATGGCCTGACTGTTTAATATCTTTGGCATATATCCTGTAGTATAGTTGCTCCAAGCTAAGGCTTTAAGTGAGAAGCAATTTAAGTTAAGGCTCTGTGAGTGGCTAATGATGGTCAAGAATGGAAACATCAATTGAAAAAAATAGTGAGAACAAAAACTTACTTGTATATATAATGCATGGGCAAGAAAAGGAAGTTTCCTCAAGACTCGGCCACTAAGTCCTTCACTCTTCCTGTTTAAAAATAAACATAACAAAATAATTCTAAGTATTGTTTTTCCATAGATTAAACGGATGGTTCTTTTCTATGAATATTTTTCAACATTAATTGCAGAGCAAAATTCAGTATTAACCACAAATACATTCTAAGACGAATCATGATTGCTTTCTAAAGCCAAAGACTGAAAACACCCCAGGGAAGGAAAAGTAAGTAGCTAAGTGAGAGCTTGAAACAATTCCATTTATTTATGTCCAAGAATCCTGAGTCAGCCAACTTTGCACATTTACTTCCCAATAAGCACCCAATGAATTTACTGGCCCTAAGGATAAGTTTAATAAGTCAACACATTCCTGTGTATTTCTTCATTTAGTCATATAAGTAATAACTTCAGTTAAACCTATGGAAGGAACTACAAGCATAAGTACAAAGAAGTTCTAAAGATTGTTAATTATATAAACAGCCAATTGAGATGATTTAGGCCAAATTTAATCCATTTTTGGTCTTGAATTATCCTCATTTATTTATATATAGCTAGGTGCCAATTAATGTCAACAAAGAATTCTGTGATGTGGTTGCATTATTTGAATCCACATTATTTAAAGTATAATTGCATGTAAATATGGTAATTGGTTCCAGACCAATAGAAATAGAGTGCAAATTCAAATAACGCCAACTGCTTCATGGGATTCATTATTCAAACCAATTAAGACCTAACTGTATAGTCATCAAATTAAACCTGATAATTGTAAAATCTTCCCTTCATTCTGTATAATATAAACAAAGCTATTAGAATACATCTCATAAACTATTATGTTACATCTAAAATCTAGATGTATTTTACAAAGTCCTGTATTAAAATTAAACAATCATGAAAATTCAACATTGAACTTTTACTTGACCCTACTGACCTAATTTTCTCTCCTTCCATTTTTTTCTTTAAAGTAAAAGGTAGTTTAATATATTGAGCCATACCTCAACAGAAAACCACACGGTCTTTCTGACCAAACAAGAATGTTCCCAAGTCTACCTGCAACAGTTCATGTCTTCTAGGCAAATTTTCACACAAATAATGACTAAAGAGCACTTGATTTGCTCTTTAATTAGATTAAAAAATTATGCTATGTGGATTCTTGGGATTTTTTTAGCTCCTTCTTTTGCTAATCTATCAGCTTTTTCATTGCTTGCAAACCCTGAATGACTAGGAACGTGTACCCATTTAATGTCTATGCCTTGAATAAGTGTATCAAGCTTAACAAAGTCTTCTCTGTTAATGATCTTTTCCTGTGCTCGTTTTCCAGCCATTTTTCTTCCAGTCTTTAACCCAACTCATTACACCATTTATAGTAAACATACTGTCTGTGCAGAGAACCAGCTTACTGATGTTTTGATTCTTGGTTTGTTCTATTGCTTTACAGACAGCATGTATTTCTGCTCTTTGGTTCGTCTGTTGCCCAGGAAGTCTATCACCCACATTTAGAGGATGGCCTGGCCCCCAATAAACACCAATGTTTGCTCGTGCTTTCCTCCTCCCATTACTGGCACAGCAGTCATCTGTATAAACCACAACTGCACCTCTCATATAAGAAAATTTATCTTTGCTAAGTGAAGGTACTGAGTCTGTATTTTGTTTTGTAAGCTTTGAGCAAGGCTCTTCCTCTTCATTTGATAACCCACAGGGTCTCTTGTCTGGCTTCACTTTGGAGTCTTACATTCACATTTCTTTTTCTCCTCTGTTGAACGATCAAGACTTGCAGAATTTTGGACAAAGGCCCAGCATCCTCAGTAGCAAACTTCTTCCAGGCAGCAGAAAATGGTTCACTTGTGCTTGACATGCACTCCAGCTAGGGAACATGCAGTCTCACTGCCCCTCCTCATGGCACAGAATATGCCAGTGCTCAGGTGGCATGGGCTATAGCACCCAAAAGCACCTGCGACAACTGTGGGGACAGCGTCCCGAGTCTCAGGCTGGCTCACTCTAGGGCCTCTCCTTCAAATTTTACTGCTAACTTCTTGAACCAGGAGTCCACATTCTCCCCTCATTTATTTACTAGCAACCTTCTCTTTAACCCTCCTGCATTCTGGAGGATGCCCCACCCCATTCTATTGAAAATGAATCCTCTAAGGTCATCAAGGACCTTCAAACCAGCAAACTGAATAACCTATATTCAGTTCTCATTTTCCTTAACCTTCCTGCATTTATTCTCTTTACATTTATTCTGTATATACTCATATATGTATTTGTTGTATCTTCTATCAGAATATAAGATCCTTACAAGTAAGGATTGCTTCATTCTTTGTATTTGTATCCCCAGTAGCTAACACAACATCTGACACATAGTAGGTACTCAATGCTTTTTTTCCCCCTTTCACTTCCAGTTTTTGTTGTTGTTCAATTTTGTCCAACTTTTTGTGACCCCATTTAGGGTTTTCCTTGGCAAAGATACTAGAGTGGTTTGCCATTTGATTCCCTACCTCATTTTACAGATGAGGAAACTGAGGCAAAGAGGATTAAGTGACTTGCCCAGGGTCACACAGCTTGTAAGTGTCTGTGGCCAAACTTGAGCAGGAAGATGGGTCTTCCTGACTTCAGGCCCAGTGCTCTGCACACTATGGCGTCACCTAGCTGCAAGTATAACTAACCCAAGTTTAGGCCCTCATTTGCTCATGTGTGGACTAGATTCCATTGGGTCTCCTGCTTCGTCTTGCTCCTCTCCCTCCAACTAGCACATCACTTGCCAAATTATTTTCCTAAAATGTTGCTTTCTTTATGACTATTCTGCCTTAGATCTTCAATAGTTCCCCATTACCTAGAGAGCAGTCTAAACTCCAGTATAGCATTCAACAATCTCTACAAATCTAGCCCAATTTTTGTTCTAGTTTTATCTCTTATTACTCTCATATTCAGATTATCCACTAAAACCAAAGTGCTATATTCAAATGCTTCCAACCACACCTTGCATGTTGTTGCCTGCATCATCCAGTGCCTTTGCTATTTAGTTAATGTTATCCATTCTTGAAGGCCCATTTCAATCTCAAAGATTTATTTTCTCTATTACTAATTTGGTATTTATTGCTTATTATCCTGCAGTATATCCTTTAATTTCATTTTTTAATTAATCAATCAGCAAGCATTTACTAAGCACCTACTATATGCCAGGCACTGTGCTAGGTGTTAGTAATAGGGCACCCAAGGCAAAGGTGAAAGTACTCCTCAAGAAGCTTACTTTCTACCATGGAAGCTCTCACTCTCTCTCTCTCCCCCTCCACATATGTATGTATATATGTACACATACACATATGCATACACACACACATATACACATACACACTGGTTGGTTGGCTGTTGTCCTTCATTCTCGAAGAGGTCCAAAATGACATCACTGTGCTAGAGTCAAGTTTCAGTGCATCCGACTGTGGCTGATGAGACCAATATGAACTTGGAATGTTCTACCATAGGTTGGGCACAAATAGTCTGTTTGAACATTTGGGGTGGATTCTCTAAATGTGTGCATCTTGCGTTTCTTTTAAGCTGTTTCAATTCTGCTTTGCTCACGGAGCACAGCACCTTCTCTGATGTAGGTACGCAATGCTAAGTGGTCCTGTGCCAGTGTCTCCCATGTCACACCATCGATTCCAAAGTTCTTAAGAGAGACCTTGAGAGTGTCCTTGTATCACTTCACATATACACAATACATATGTACATATACACACATATATAATCCACACACACATACATATAATTAATACCTATTAATGTCAGTTGTATAACAAATGTATTGTATTATAATTAATATAATGTACAAATAAAATATAACACAATATGCATATGTGTATGTATATATGTATTTTCTCACACATACGTGCATATATATACACACATATACCTAAATACAAATTAATTAATTTTTTTTTTTTTGCAGGGAGAGACAGAAGCATTTGGGAAGGAAGAGAATGTGATTTCATCTCCCCAAATATATTAAAATTCTTGAGGGATAGGGCTATATCTCTATATTTTTCTCTATTTCACCACTATCTTGAAATGAGTTAAATAATAATAATTAAGGCAATAATTTTTATTTTGTCTTACCTTCTATCTGTTCATATGGAAAACTTTATAATGAACACTTTAAAAAATCATTTAAATATTTTTGGGACTTTCTAAATTTGTATGTTTATCTAGACTAAAATTATTACTTGACAATCATTGTAGCTCAAAACATGTTAAAAACAAATTTTTTTTTGTTTCAAAATGAAGATTCTCACCTTGAAATTTCACTTAATAGTAGACTCAGCCTTGATACATTATTTTCAACATATCCAATCATTTCTAGTTCTCGAAGAGTCAATAGTTGTTGCCGTGGATATATTATTTGACACTAATGAAAAGGAAATATTAAATTAGTATTATCAAAAAATTTTTCAAATACTTAATCATGTGAGACTTACAGAAAGTGTGAATTATAATTATGTTTAATATACTATTTTGGGGCAGCTAGGTGGCACAGTAGATAAGAGCTCTGGTCTTGGAGTCAGGAAGACCTGAGTTCAAATCCGGCTTCAGACACTTGATACTTACTAGCTGGGCAAGTCACTTAACCCTGACTGCCTCACAAAAAAATAAATAAATAAATTAAATTAAATATACTATTTTGAATAAAAAGGTATGTTAAGTCCCCCAAATTGTGACTGGATCCTGTTCAACAAATTCCTGTGTAAGTTGATCATTAGGCATGAGAACGTATTCCCACATAAACAACGTCAGAAATGGTAGCTAAGGAACTAAGTCATCTCACTATAAAAAGTATAACTTGGCAGAATTAAAGTCCCTTCAAACTCTAGATCTATAATTCTACGGCATAAACAATGTTAAAAGTTTAAGTTTTTATTTCCGGTCCTGGAAATGGGATGGATGGGGCAGGAGTGGTATCTTTGATTGGATAGATTTTTTGTGCAATTTGAGTGTCTGTAAGTATAGGGATGCCTATATTGGAATTAATTTTTAAATGGCTAGAAAAATGCTAAGATGTGCAAGCCAAAACTTCAAACCTGTGTCCCTAATTAGGTTACCAACACTCTTTTGAGCTGTATATGAGACATCAAAGCTAAGGAAATGAACTAGGATTTATCTTTATATAAAAATGGTAGAAGGTATGATTTAATAAATGTTTAAAAAAATTATAGAGGGTAGTTACTTTCTTAAATTAAAAAATCTATCGGGGGCAGGTAGGTGGCGCAGTGGATAGAGCACCGGACCTGAAGTCAGGAGGAGAGTTCAAATCTGGCCTCAGACCAAACACTTGACACTTACTAGCTTTGTGACCATGGGCAAGTCACTTAACCCCAACTGCCTAAGCAACAAACAAATAAATAAATAAATAAATAATCTATCAACAGCAGCTCATTCTGAAAAATAAAAACTCTGATCTACTACTCCCTGTATCACTCAAAACTCTGTGTCTGGTAGTTTTCCTCTGCCACCTATTCCCTACAGACTCCTTTTCTCTTCCTTTACCCCACAGAGGCTTCCTTAATTAATTCAATCCAGCTCAGCAGGAAGTGCTCCAGGGACTTCACATTCTCTTAACACTTACACAAGTAGACTATTGTAATTAACTGATAACAGGCTATTTCTTTGCAAACATGTTTATGTCCTTTTTATGTGTGGTTTTTGTTTTTTTGGGGTTTTTTTGTGTGAATGTCTTTATAATTAGTCTTTAAGGCAGGGATTATCTATTCCTTTAAAGCACTTAACATAATGTTCTACATTTAAAATTGCCTGACCATTGTTTCTACCCTCATCTCTGCCTTAATTACACCTTTCTTTGTCAGTGATTCTAAATTTTGGATGATGAATGAAATTCTTAAACCTAGACACCATATAAATTTACTAAGTGGCAGCAATTCAGAGCAACCTACAGGTAGTAAAGAGATTATCAACTTAGAGGAAGTGATAAGAAAGAGAAAGTATTAAAAAACCAGACAACCATCTCAACTAAAAAGATGACTAAGTGGTAACTTTGACATCCTACAAATATTTGAAATACCTCAGCAATAAGGGAATGGATGGGAAATGAATTGTTGAGGTTGGATTAGACACTCAGGCAAGACTAAAAAGTGAAAGCAAGTGAGCATAAGCTAAGAAACAAGTGTTGCCTCCAGGGCACAAAAAATAAATAAAAAACAAACAAACAAACAAAAAAGAGTAATCTGTTTCAATCTTCAGTTACCCAAATGCTTCAAAGATCAAATAGCACAAACCACAATTCTGAAGAAAGGCAGGGTCATAAAAACAAGTTGAAGGAAAAAGGAAGATGAAACAAGCAGAAACTCAAGTTACTCAAGTACTGAAATATGATCTTCAAATGTGGTTCCCAAAAGATCAAAAACAAGTTAAAAACATAATTTTGACTACTAGGTCAAACTGTAAGAAACACTAAGGCTGTAATTCCTATCTTAGAGGAATAGGGAATTACAAATCCTACTACTAAAAATTGTATGGGAACAAATCGTTTTTAAACCAAATCAAACAAGGTAGTACTCAAATAAACAAATAAATAAAAACTTACCTTCATTAGTTCTTCTACACAAGAAAGATAAATTTTGAAAATAGCTGCAGTAGATGGAGGTCCTATGTATTGTTTTATATCAGCTCTGTCTACAAAGGCCATGTCAATTTTCTCAGTAATATTTGAAGTTGTTAATATAACAACATTTGAATGCCTATTAAGATAAAGAAACATCTGATGTCATACCTATTCTATCTAATATGGTAACACTATTTGCCTAACATTTCACATTTTCAGAGAAATTTGCATTCCTTAAAAAAACAGATATTATGGATACCTCATCATGGGATAATTTAGTGTATAGTTCAATTAACTTAATTTTAATAATGACAAAACACAGAGGTAGGGTATGTGAGAGTATTATCCATGTCAATGTAGTTGTAACTAACTACCAGAAATGACAACTCTCAAAAGGTACTAGATCCCTTAGGCTAAAAGGGAGGTAGTGTTGCCAGCTTTCCTCAGCCATACAACTTCAGGTCACCTCGTGTCACCAGCCAAATCTGGAGCTCCTTTGCTGCCATTATCAAAATACAATGATATTTCACTTAATGAAACTACTAGGAACTGCTAGAGATAACACTGCTTTAGACAGAAATGGTTAACGTTTTTAAAAATCAAACAAATCAACAACTTTATATATCATAGGAAGTAGAACTTCATCTTAAGTCAACTTTAAACTTTTATCTCTAATTGCGGAGTGAAGATTCAGTCCCCCATTAAAAGAATTTCAAGCACTGGCAAATGGAGAAACACTTGATCAGGGGATGATTTGAGGGATGGGAGGAGTGTTAAGTTGGCCCATGAAATTATTCTTATTACTCAAAAGACAAGCCCTGAAAGTAAAGCTGATTTAATTGTTTTGGAGTTATTAAGTGGTTCAGAAGAGAAAATCTGTTATCAAAGTACCTCAGTTTTCCTAGGGAGGCCAAATATAGCTATTCAAGGCCAATTTCGCAGGTCTAAGAGACTCATTCTCTGCACTTGGATGCCCTCTTTCCTACTCTTAACTTATCTTGCTCTCCCTATCTCTCTAGGCTCCAATATATTTTGCGTTTCCTGGAAAATATGACATTAATATTCAAAGATGCTTTTGTAGTAGAATTCCTTTTATCTAACCTCCTGGAACACTTCCCTGTCTCCTCTTTTTAGTTCTACCTAGAATAATACACAAATTGAACTCTAAATCTTGCTTTGCAAATATTCTAACCATAAAATGAGAAAGTCGGTTATTTGGCATTGAGTGCTTAGTATTTGTTTTTAAATGTTTGTAGCAACACAGGATAAATAAATGAACCCATCATCTTTGTTAATAGACGTTTCCATGGACTAAATTAGCAATAACAATGACAAAAAGGAAGTTTCCACATTAAAGTAAAATAAAATATAAAATAGGACCTTTGATTTCTGACATTAGTTAAACTAGAGAGATTCACAGGGCATGGCAGTGCTAGAACTTAGTTCCTTGAGAATATGGGATCTTATTCTATCATGAAACAGAGATCAAGAAAAAGATGAATACAATAAAGAAGCACCCTTCAACAGAGGGAACCTGTCAACTATGAATGATAACATGCTGAACTTCACATACATGAGTGGCAAAGTCAATCCACTTGGTATGGGGTAACTTATTTGTTTTGTTCCTGGTACCAATGAATGTCTCCTCTGAACCATCCACATTCACTCACCCATTTCCTACCATCACCAACACATGAGTAGATATGTAAGATGACAAAGTAGGATTAGACATAGAATTTGTAGCTATGGAAGAGATTTTCTATGTAAACTGAAATGACCTACATGAGGATGAAATTGAAAACCCTGTATGATACTACTCTAACACACTCTAATCAACTACTCTAACAGCTCATCCCATAAATTGTGCTTGTACAGGCATAAGAAGGATAAGCAACAATGGCTCTCAAGTCAGAAGACCTGGATTCAAATCTTACTCTTATGCCCTCTAGCTATGTGATTTAGAAAAACCTCCATGTGCCTCAGCTTCCTGATCTATAAAAAAAAGGCAAGAGGACCACATGGCTTCTGAGGTTCTTTCAAGATCAGATTTTTGATCTTATGATCTCAATCCTGCTCCCAAAGTTGCCAATCTAGAAGATTTATAAGCACAAAATTAAAGTATAAGTACAATAAGGTATTTCTGTTAGCAGTCTATATCATAAGGCAGTCAGTTTTACAGAACACCTTCAGTAGACCCCAAGAGGAAAAAAAAAGTCACTCGGATGTTCATCATCTCACTTCATGCATATTTACACGTAATAAAACCATGACTTTTTTTTTTTACCATGACTTTTTTTTCTCCTTGCTCTATTAATTAGGTCAAGTTATATTTCCTAAAACAAGGCATTTATGTTGACTAGAAAGGGCACTGGATTAGACATAACAAGACTGGGGCTTGAATACCAATTCTGCTATATAATAGTTGTGTAAACTTGGTTAAATGAAGTCACTTAACTTTAGTTTCCTCATCAATGAAAGGAGGAGTTTGAATTAAATAATCTGAATCTGATTAAATACTATTGTGCTGTAAGAAATAAGGAAAGATGGCAGAGTACAAGCAGTGACTTGCTTGAGCTCTCTTCCAAACCCCTCCAAATACCTGTAAAGAATGGCTCTAAACAAATTCTAAAGCATCAGAACCCACAAAAAGACAGAGTGAAACAAATTTCCAGCCCAAGACAACCTGGATGGTTGATTGGAAAGATCTACTGCGCCGGGCTGGGAGAGAAACACAGTTCAGTGTGGGTGTGCAGCCAAAACAGAACTCAGTGGACTGAATCACAGGCAGCAGTGGCAGTTTCCAGACTTCTCAACCCAGGCACGCCAAAGAGAACTTAGAAGGTCAGTAGGAAAGGTCTGTGACTGAGGTGAGAGAGAAGCTCAGCTCCAGACCCAGTTCTGGCACAGCCCCAGGGAGGCAGCTGCTTCTGGAGCTCTCAGTCCACAGACTGAGGGGGGAATCAGAGGTGAATTGCAGGGATCTCTTTGCTGGTGCTGAGGTAAGATTCTCTTGCTTTGCCCATGCTTGGATTTGGATCCCAGTTCTGGATGGCAAGGAGGAGCGCTCGCGTGCTATAGTGGCAGTGGAGAGGAAATCCTCCTCACAGTTCCAAGGCAGAAAAGAGTGCTTGTGGTCACTCATGGACCAGAGCACAGCCCAAGAAAGGAGTAAACACCTCACCTTTGATCATACCACTTTGGAAGAACTGAAAATTTACAGGTCCCTAGAAGTATCTCTGAAAACAGCTGCACAAAACTACCAAAGCTTGGGACGTGCATTCTCCACACTGGAAGCAGACCCCTACCTTAACAAAGAGTTGAAAATTCAAGTAATTGGCTGGGATTACGAGCAAACTGTGCAAAAAAAAATTCAGACTACAGAATCTTACTTTGGTGACAAAGAAGATCAAAACATCCAAACAGAAGAAGACAACAAAGTCAAAACTCCTACACCCAAAGCCTCCAAGAAAAATATGAATCAGTCCCAGACCAAGAAAGAGCTCAAAAAGGATTTTGAGAAGTAAATAAGAGAAGTAGAGGAAAAACTGGGAAGAGAAATGAGAGTGATGCAAGAAAATCATGAAAAACAAGTCAACAGCTTGCTAAAGGAGATCCAAAAAAATACTGAGGAAAATAACACCTTAAAAAATAGCCTAACCCAAATGGCAAAAGAGGTCCAAAAAGACAATGAAGAGAAGAATGCCTTAAAAAGCAGAATTGGCCAGATGTAAAAGGAAGTCCAAAAGCTCACTGAAGAAAATACTTCCTTAAAAATTAGAATGGAGCAAATGGAAGCTAATGACCTTATGAGAAATGAAGACATTGTAAAACAAAACCAAAAGAATAAAAAAAAGAAGACAATGTGAAATATCTCATTGGAAAAACAACTGACCTGGAAAATAGATCCAGGAGAGAGAATTTAAAAATTATGGGACTATCTAAGCCATGATCAAAAAAAGAGCCTACACATCACCTATTAAGAAATTATCAAGGAAAACTGCCCTGGTATTCTAGAACCAGAGGGTACAGAAATGGAAAGAACCCATCAATCACCTCCTGAAAGAGATCCCCAAAGGAAAACTCCTAGGAATATTGTAGCCAAATTCCAGAGTTCCCAGGTCAAGGAGAAAATACTGCAAGCAGCCGGAAAGAAACAATTCAAGTATTGTGGAAACACAATCCGGATAACACAAGATTTAGCAGCTTCCACATTAAGGGACCAGAGGGCTTGGAATATAATATTCTAGAGGTTAAAGGACATAGGATTACAGCCAAGAAATCACCTACCCAGCAAAACTGAGTATAATCCTTCAGAAGAAAAAATGGACATTCAGTGAAATAGAGGACTTTTCAAGCATTCTTGATGAAAAGACCAGAGCTGAATAGAAAATTCAACTTTCAAATACAAGACTCAAGTGAAACATGAAGAGGTAAACAGGAAAGAGAAATCATAAGGAACTTATTAAGGCCGAACTGTTTACATTCCTGCATAGAAAGACGATATTTGTAACTCATGAGACCTTTGTCAGTATTAGGGTAGTTGCAGTGGAAAAAATTATATGTATAGATAGATAGATGGCAAAGGGTGAGTTGAAGATGAAGGGGTGATATCTGGAGAATAAAGTTAAAAGGTGAGAGAGGATTATACTGGGAGAAGGAGAAAGGGAGAGGTAGAATGGGGTAAATTATCTCACATAAAATAGACAAGAGAAGGCTTTTACAGTGGAGGGGAAGCGGGGAAAGGTAAGAGGGAATGAGTGAATCTTTCTCATTGGATTTGGTTTAAGGAGGGAATAACATACACACTCAAATGGGTATGGAAATCTATCTTACCTTACAGGAAAATAGGGGGGAAGGGGATAAGAGAGCAGGGAGGGCATATTGGGAGAGGGGGTAATCAGAAGCAAACTCTTCTGAGGAGGGACAGGGTTAAAAGAGAGAATAGAATAAACGGGGGGGGAGGGGATGGATAAGATGAAGGGAAATAGTTTTTCACAACATGACTACTATGGAAGTGTTTTGCATGACTACACAAGTATGACCTGTATCAAGTTGCTTGCCTTCTCAATGAGGGTGGGTAGGGAGGGAGGAAGGGAGAAATTTGGAACTCAAAGTTTTAAAAACAAACGTTAAAAATTGTTTTCACATGCAACTGGGAAATAAGATATACAAGCAATGGGTTACAGAAACCATCCTGCCCTACAGGAAAATAGAAAGGGAAGAGGATAAGAGAAGGGAGGGAAGAGACAGAAGAGAGGGCAGATTAGGGGAAAGAGTATTCAGAATGCACACTGTCTTAGGGTGGGGGAAGGGACGAGATAAAAAAGAATTAAAGAAAAAGAGAAGGAAAGAGATGATTTCAAAGAGATAGACATATGAACTGATAAAGAATAAGCAGAACCATTGGAACAATTCCTGCTATAGCGTGAACATTATAAAAATAAACAATTTTGAAAAATTTTATAAACTGATGAAGAATGGAATGAACAGAAACAAGCTAACAATTTATGTTATAACAATGCAATAAAAGCAAACAACTTCAAAAGCTGTAAAAAGTGTGATCAGTACCATAACCACTCATGATTTGAGGACTGATGATGAAACATGCTATCCATGACAGGTGATAGATTTAGGATGCAGAAATGAAACATGTATATTTTTGTATAAAGCCAATGAGGGCATTTATTGCTTGACTATGCACATCTGTTACAATTTTTTCCTTTTCCTTTTTTTTTTGGCAGTAGGGGAGGGGTGAGAGTAAAAAAATATAGATTTATTAATTAAAAAAAATAACTCTAAAACACTAATTATTGCTATATAACTCACTTTATATAGCACATGAAGGTTTATAAATCATTTTCCTAACAACAACCACCCTGTGAGATAGACAGTCCAAGTAGCACTGTCCTAATTTATAGACAAGTGACCTAATGTGCTTAGAGGTCACTCGACTTGATGATCACTTTGCTAGTAACTATTTAAGGCATGATTCCCAGAATCATGGAATTTAAGAGAGAAAAGGGACCACAGAAGTCATCCAGTCCAACCCACAGAGGAAAGGAATCCAGACTGTAATAGACCTGACAAGTGGCTGTCCAGTCTCTGCTAGAAGACCGTCAATGAAGGCGATCCTACCATCTCTCTAGGTAATCCATTCTTCTTCAAGGCAACTCTGAATGTTTGGTAGGTTTTCCTAAAATCAAGCCTAAATTCGCTTGTTCATTTTTTTTCCCCCAACTTCTACCCCTTGCTTCTGGTTCTGCCCTGTGGGACCAAATAGAGAAGGCTAATTCTTCCTCCACATGACAACCTTTCAAAAACCTGAAGACAGTAGTCATGAACTAGCCTTCTCTATTTAGCTATTCTCTATTTACCTTTGCTAAAATCTGGGTAAACTATATCCTCAACACTCCTTTCTTCTACTAACTTTGCAATGCAATCAAGAGTAAACAAAGTTATTCAGGTATAGCCTGCCTATGTACAAAGCATGCTGGCTCTTTGTAATAACTATTTCTCCTTTCCAGATGTTTGCTTCAGAATTTTCCAGAATTTTCCCAAGAATCAAAGGCAAACTCATTGGCTTACAGTTTACAGAGTCTATTTTCTTCCATTTTGAAAATGAAGAAAACAGTGCCATGCTCTTATATTTAAACATGTTACTAGGCACTATCTTTTATATATTTCTTTTTAAAGTCTAAACTGGTGGGTGAATTCCCCATGTGTCTATCTGTCTTGAGGCAAATTCTATTTTTCTTCCTTATTGAAATTATTTCCCACGATAGCTTCAGAATTTCATTCATGGAGCATCTCCCATCCTTCCTGGATTGATTTCCTCTAGAGTATTTTAGTTCATAGGTTGCTACCTATCTTTCCAATGAACCTTTTCAAAACTGCTTTCCCAAAAACTTGGGGGACCCTGATTTTCCGACTTCAACTGCAATACTCTTTCCACTATATCACACTTTCAAATCTAACCATATGATCCTATAGTTAAACTACAATAAGAGTTTGATGTGATGCAGTTAGATGGTAATAAGGTTATTCCTGTCTTCTGACCTTAGTGTTTCAAAAGTATTCCAAAAGTCTGGGAGCAGTATTTGACATTTTGTACAATATAATGATTTTTAGAACTGGGGACCATGAACAAATAAAAGGTTGTTATATTATCAGGAAAACACATTTTTCAGAAAAATCTTGTCAAAAAGTTCCTGAAAAGTCCTCTTTCAGTTTTTATCATATTGCTATAAACACTATAAAACATACTGAACACTCAGTGCCAAACATTTAACTTCATTTTTAGTTAGGATATCTTGAAAGCAAGATTTAGAGTCCAATTTGTGCATTTATAAGGAATTTTCTGGAACAAATGCTACTTATTTCATCTCACTTAAAGTCCCTGGACCTCAGTTTCCTTATCTGTAAAATGAGGGAGTTGTACTATATGGTCTTTGAAGTCCCTTCTGCCACTAACTCCCATAAGTAAAACCTAAAATCTTGTCCTGTCTTTGCCTCTAACTTGCTGTGCAACTTTGGCCAAGTAACTTTTCCTCTCTAGGCCTCAATTTACTTATCTGTAAAATGAAGTTGTTGGACAAGATGAACTTTTCAGCTCTAACATTCTACATTCCCATATTACCTTTTAATCTGATCAATTTGTGTCAAAACAGCATTGACAACCCGGATTGCATCTGATGGTTCAGTGCCTGCCCTACAGGCATTACGGGCTGCAGTAAGACTTTCCACCTAGAGGTAGGAGAAAAAGAAATGTCATAATGGTTAGGTTATTATTTCATGATTTTTTAACGAGTTCATATAATTAGCTTAATCCCAATAGACATCATCATGCCTATCATCATATCTATTCTTAACACCATTAAGATGAACTGATTTCTTAGAATGCCCCCTTTCATAATGACTCAGTAGGTAAAGACCCATACCTCATCAATCAGCACAAACACCAGAGCTTCTTTATCATCAATTAACTCTTGAATCTTCTGGAACATCTTTGTTACTAGTTTACCACTCTAGAACCAAAATACATGATGTTATTTAAATGCCAGCTTCTAGCATCTGACAAAATTAAAAAAGTATTGGAATAATACATATTTGCCTAAATTTCTATGGTTAATAAACTAGTGTTTTCTTTCCTATTATAATCACCTTAGGGGCCAAGCTCTAGATGAGTACTATAATTAGCACTTTCCATTGTAATTCAGTCTTTCCTCAACATTCTCCATCTCAAAGGTTCACTAATGGCTTATGTACAATTTCCTCATTTTGCTGATGAGGTAACTGATGTTCAAAAAGCATCAGTTATCTGTCCAAGGTCACAGAACTAATAGATGTCAGAGCCAGAACTCAAATTCAAGGCTTTTCATTGTAAATTCACACACCTTTCAGTACCACTTCTGCTCCTTGTTTTCTGGTCTACTATCTCTCAGGCTTTCTTCACCTACTTGAGTTTGGAACTTTATCCAGCTCATGACCTCCTAGACTCACAAACTCTTAGTTAGAAGAACCAGGAGAAATCAACTGAGTCAGATTCTTTCATTTTGCATATGAGGAAACTGAGTTCCAGAAAGATTAAGTAACTTGCCCAAAGTCACATACCTAAAAACTGTCAGAGCTGAATCTACTGCTCTGCTTTCCAGTTCTCAGTTCTGAGCTTATTCCACTGCACAAAGCTATCTATCTATGTTTGGGGAAAAAAAGCTAAATGACACTATAATTGTTGCATAAATTCAGATAAGACTAATGTTACCTAATAACTATTCTATATTTATACTCCTAAGTCTTATTTGAGCTTCTGCTGTGTACAGCATTTCCATATTTAAGTGTTTAAACAAACTTGGAGAAATTGCACAAAGATTCATATTTCAAGTGTGAGAAAACCTGATCCCTGTAATTAATTCACTTATCCAAAAGACAATCATACAAAAGCAACTCATTCTTCTAGAGTACTGTCCTAGGTTTAAAAAAAAATGAACTTAATGTGTAAGCACAAGTATTATTCTTCCAGATTACAGAATCAAGCCTAGTATTTAATGCTTACCTCTGAAAACCACTTAGAGAAAAGGCTATGACTATTTATCTCAATTAATTGGCCATATTGATACCTAGAATCAGAGAAAGAATCAATTAAATTGTCTCATAATGTAATCAGTCCTAAAGTACTTCTTTAATGGTAGTCAACTTTTACCTTCATTCTGTAGATGAGGAAACTGAAGCTCAGAAAAATTAAGTTAGCTAAAACCACACAGCATCTAAGCAGCAGACTCAAGGTCAGTGATGAACCTCAACATCTTGACACTCAGTCAAGTACTCTTTACACTATACCATGTCTCAATGAGTACTATCTGCATGTAAAAACCAAACAAGAAACAACCCCAAACCTTGAGTCCTTTAAGTTAAAACATATACACACACATGCACACACACACACATATATATATACTTTTTTAATGGTTTTATTTTTAAAATCTAGCAGACAAGAAAGCAGCGAGAAGAAACAGGCACTTTGCTATGTGGCTGAATTACTGTTCCCAAAGGAGATAGCATTGAAGCCTCACTTTACACTGGGGGCTCTGCCCCTTTAGTCTCAGAGCTCTGCCCACCTCAGGGGACCTCCTTGGATTGACTGCTTAGCCAACTTTACCCACCCTCAGAAGTATCCAAAGCTGTTATCTAGCAACAAGTAACTTTAATTTCAATGCATTTTTAAAAGGAAAATGAATTATTACATTCCTAAGAGTTTACTGTTCACTATGAACTCATATTGGGGAAAGCCTTTCCTCTTCAATGTATTTATAAAACTTCTCTCTGGTATGGCATCTTTAATGTTAAGTCCTAAATTGAAAAAGCAAGGGGCAATGGACAGCCGTTGAACCAGGAAAACCTGCCTTTGATTTCTGCCTCCTTAGCACTCTGGATACCCGTAATTACTTTTTACAAATTTTGCATTTATTTCTCCGAGTATATGTTGTTTCCTACCAGAATGTAAGCTCTTGAGGGTAGGAACTCTTTCATTTCTGTCTTTATATCTCTAGTGCCAGAGTGGGCAAAGCCAGACAGCCTTTTCCTGTGCTGCCCAAAGGTTCAGAACGGTTTTTATATTTTCAAACAAAACTTTTATTTAAAAAGGGAAAAACTATTTTTAGCTTGGTTAAACAAAAACAGGCACAGATCACAGTTTGCCAGCCCTGCTCTCAGGTTAGCACATAGCAGGTACTGAATAAATGCTTCTTGTTTTTAAATTATATTCAGCTATACTAACTTCTTTTTCTTGCAAATTACATAATATCACTTCCTCTCCTTTCCTCTCTTTAAAAAAAAAGAGCTGAAATGTTATGTCTGATAAAATGTCAAAATACTCTATGCAATAATGAGATTATGGTAATATTAAACCCATTTGTTCTTTTTATGAGTGCATTTTATAAGGTTTTTTCTTGTATTTGTAATGTCACTAGGACCAAATTGGAAAACAAACAAGAACAAATACCTTTCCAGAAATATCTTTCGGAAAATTTATAGCACTGTTAAGCATAGTTATAAACATGGAGTAAATATTCAATTCACCCTGTCTGAAACTTTATCATTTTAAATGTAATTAGCCCCTAAAAAATTCTATGAAATTAGATTAAGGCAAGGTGAGACAATAAAGCTTGCCTATAAGCTTCTTGGTAGAGTTTCATTCATCTCAAAGGTCCCCTGGGACAGGTAAACACATCTACCACTCATGCCTTTCCAAAAATACTTTTAAGCACATGGCACCTTTACATCGAGGCAGGAGCAATTAGGCATTTGCCTAATGATGCAACATCACAACATCAATATAAAGGCCAAGAATACAATTTACTTGTAATGTTCTTTTCTGAAAAACCGCAATGCTTTCAAATGAAACACAAGGGTAAACAAAGCAAAAATATAAAACTGATTTTGGCCATAAATGGAAACAGGAGAAGACAGATGGTTGCTTTTTTTTTAATCCCCTTACTCCATTTTTAACCCAGGAAAAATATTCTTTTGGATCCAGAACTAGAAAATTCACATTTCATTTTTATTGAGAGAAGTCATCTCCCTCTATCTTAATAACATTTCTATCTTACTGACTTTTTTGAAAGTTGCCATTAGAGCTATTTGAAGTGTGAGGGCTTTTTTTGTATCCACAGAGAATCACAGCATCATATTTTAAAGACAGAAAGGACCTTAAAGATCATCAAGTCCAATTTCCTCACTACAATTATGGTAAAGCTTAATGGCACATGCTTGTGCCTAGAACTCCACATTTATAACATTATTCCTGTAGGATGATTCATTCCAAGTTCCAAATAACTAAAGAGGAAGCATGGTGCCATGGAAAGGACTATGGCCAAGACTCAGAGTCCTCCCTCTGCTCTGACTTGCTACGTGACCTTGGGCAAGTCATGTCACCTCATTGGGCCTCAGTTTTTTTCACCTGTTAAATGAGGGGGTTGAACAAGATAATTTCTAAGATCCCTTTCCATTCCAATATTCTGAATCTAAAAACGTGGTTAAACAAAGCAATTTTCTAACTCAATAGAAAGCATTTTAAATTGATATTATTACAAACAATAAATTTTACTAATCTATGTCAAGTTACAGATAATAAAGGGATTAGCTGAGCCACATAAAAGGTTAAATTATAATCCAAAGAATTAAAACAATTATATAAGAGAAGATAATCACATTTCTACTCCTCTCTTCTTCTGCCCCAAAGTTACCTGCATGAAAGTCTAATTGTCAATTTCTGAGCTAATGCTTTACATAACGATGTTTTTCCAGTTCCTGGAGGACCTATAAAAAAACATATTAATCAAAGTAAGTTTAATATTCAGTACATGATTAAAACTATACCACAGTGGTACAAAAAACTAAATGCAGAAGCAACTTATCAGAAATATGTACCACAGTAAAGCAGTAGGTAGTGTATAAGGTTCACAACTCAAGCCTCAGAGCTCAAGCCTCAGAGAAGGCATTAGTCTGATTTCAACAGTGTAGGTCAAACTCCACTAATGCAGACTGTAGCCCTTTCATACTTTAGTGGATGGTTTCGTGAGTTAGTGAGGCCATGAAAATCTATCACTTGCTGGCCAGCCTTCTTGCGATGGACTTTACCAAACCTAGCCAGACTGGTCTATGAGACAGACATACTACAAGTCTGTCCAATATAGGAAGCCCTTCCATCTTGCTGGGACCTAGAAGAGTCTGTACTTCACTGGCATACCCCTTCAAGAACTCAACTAGGGTCAATCTTGATACAAACAGCATTAGAATTCAATGTAAGTCTCCCTTATGCTAAATAAATGTTAGTGGAATCATGGGAAGTCAGGCACACTAATACATCATGGTGGAGTTGTGAATTAGTCCAGTTGTTCTGGAAAACTTTCTGGAATTGCGCAAGATCAGTAACCAAGTGTTAATATCCTCGGTCCCAGCAATTCCACCACTAGGTATATATTTCATGTGTTTTTTGTGGTAGCAAAAAGCAAAACAAAACAAACAAAAAAAAACTAGAAATAATGGGGGTGCCCACTACTTGGAGAATGGCAGAACAAATTGTAGTGTATAAGAAATGATGAATATAAAGAGATTGAAGAAACATGGGAAGATCTGCATAAAGTGAAGAAAGTAGAACCAAAAGAATAACACAAAAGAACCACAATATTGTATGCTAAAACAATAAAAGACATAAAAATTCAGATTAAAAGTAGTGATCAATCACAGTCCCAGAGAACTGATGATGAAACATACTTTCCTCCTTTCTGAGACAATGTAGACTACCAGAATGTAATACATTGTATACATTGTTATACATGATTGCTACGCAGGATGTGTTGCTTATAACTGTTCTTCTTTGTTAAAAGGTAGGAATGTGTGTGTATATGTGTGCACACTCGTGCATGAGTACACACTTATGCAAGCATGCACAGACAATACTATGAATTGAAAGTGGAATAAAAAAAAGTTTCAGTAAGTCATTTTTAAAAGTCCTTATGGTGACTTTTTCACCTCAGAAACTCTGAAAAGAGTAGTTTACTCAGGCTGCATTCACTTTCTCATCAGGTATGCATTCTTTAACCCTTTGTCATTAGGCTCCCACCAATAAACATTATTGACAGGCAGTACGGTGTTCTGGAAAGCTTTACGTGTAAAATTAAATGGGCATTGGCAAGTTATGGCCTCCCTAAGCCTCAGTTTCTTCATCTCTAAAATGGGGATAATATCTATAGTACTTCACAGGGTTTTTATGAGTATCATATAATGATACTGAGATAAGTATATAAAGTGCTTTGTAAACCTCGAAGCATTCTGAAAGTTAATGACTTCCTAGTTGTCCTTATCTCAGCCCTCATTTCCCCTGAGCACTATTGATCCTGTATCTGCTGGCCACCATCCTCTTAGAATCTCTCCGTGACTGTCTGTGGCACAGACGGCATAACCCTGATCTCTCTGACTGCTTCATATCTATGTCTTCTTCCTACTTCCGTCCTAATATGGGCACTCGCCTCGACTCTCTTTCCTTCTTGACTCTTCCGGCTCAGAAATCTATCTCTCAACCAACTTTGTGGTGACTTCCGGCTCAGATATCTCTCAACTAACTTTGTGGGGACGACTCTTAAACCTTTACCTCAAGCCCTGACTTTTCTTTTGAACTTTAGTCCCACATTTCCAGTGCCCTGACACATATCCCTGGAGATGTCCTCCCACACGACATTTATAAAGAGATGTGTGATTGTGGGAAGGTAAAGTGAATTCAAGGATAACATAACTTTGTCTCTTTCTGTAATGAAAACAAATTATACTTTCTCATATAAGTACAAAGGCATAAGCAATACCCTAATTTTTATTTTACTTTTCATGAAATACAAAACAAAACACTCTTACCATGTAGCAAAACAACTCTGTTCCAGGCTATTAGGTTGCTATCAACGTTTTTGTCAGAAAATAATAAGGTTGTTGTCACATAGTCAAGCAACTGGTTCAGGAGAGAGAAAAAAAGGCACATGTAAACATGGGAATTGGTGATAAAAATCTGGCATAAGTACTACATTCCAAATGAAAATGAACAATATTAGAAACAAGTAAGACCAAATGATGTCTCAAAAATCACTGTCTTCTACAAACATTTTCTAAACATGTAATACACTGTCCTTAGGCACTGAAATGCATCTCTCTCCATAAGGCCACACTCATGTCATTTTATTTTATAAAATATAAGAAAATAAAAACTTATTATTTTTAAAAGTACAAAATAATGAGTTTTATAAAAAATAACAGCACACCAGAAAAACTATTTTACCCAACTATTTATCAAATAGTGCAATTAAATTGTGAGATGAAGTAAATATATGCTATGCTTAACTCAACAAATCCTAGTACCTTACTAAAGAAATCTCTAAGCATGGATTTTCTGACTGAAGTATTAAGGGAAGCCATAAACCCTACTAACTTGCTCCTGGTTGGCTTACTTTGGCATACCCACCAAGATTACCAATACTGAATGACAATGAGAATATATAAGAACGGTAACTGGCTTCACATCCTATCCTCACTTCTACCCTCTTGCAATCTTGGAAGCCACCTCTGTTCAGGGTCAATCCTGAAAACGCAAGTCAAGGATAGAGTAGCTCCAAGTTGTCTAGAACAGCCTGAAGTGGCACTTACTATGTCTGGGGCCCAAAAGAAGATTAATAAATTAATAAATAAAAATGAATTAAATGAATTAATCTAATTAGTAATTAAATTATTATGTTAATAAATGATACTTTCATATAAAAAAGCATTTTTCACTTACATGTGACTTAACTTCAACATCATATACAAGGCTCTCCCAAAGACCATGAAATTCAACTGTAAGATAACAATTCTGGCATGAAGTTCTAGAAAGAGAATTTCTACCTAGACTCATAGGATTTTAAAGCTGGAAGGGTTTTTTAAACATCATATAGTATGATCATATAATTTTACTAAACTAAGGCATAGATACAATGAGTTGCCCAAGGTCATACTGCTAGTAATGGCAGAGCTTATGCTCAAAACATTTGGTTCAGTATTATAAAGAAAACCATAATGAAACCAAAGGATCAAAGAATTACAGGAATCTTTGGAAAGGATGTTGGAAAGGACCTCAGAGAACATTCAGTCAAACCCATTCCTGATACAGGTTTATTCAGCCTTTGAAAACCTCCAGAGAAGGAAAACCCATCACCTCCCAAGGTACTTTTCCACTTTTGGATAGCTCTAATTATTAGGAAGTTTTATAAAAATTTTTTTTTTTTTTAGGCAATTGGGGTTAAGTGACTTGCCCAGGGTCACACAGCTATTAAGTGTCAAGTGTTTTGGTCTGAGGCCGGATTTCAACTCAGGTCCTCCTGACTTCAGGGCTGGTGCTCTATCCCCTGCGCCACCTAGCTGCCCCAAGTTTTATTAATTTTTTAAACATCCAGCCTAACTTTTTCTCTTTGCTCTTTTTACCCACTGCTCCTGGTTCTGTCTGCTGGAGTCACGCACAAGAAGCCTAATTCCACCAATCATGGCCCTATCTACCTCAGGTAGCAGTCCTATCACTTCTGTGATCTTCCTCCTTTCCCAAAATAGCTTTAAATTTTTTTTTTAAAGTTTTGTGAACCTTAGCCTTGTTCACCAGTCCCATATGCCATTTTGATTTTTAGCATTCTTGACAAAATCCATGCAGGCCCATGTCATGATGCTGTATTCATTCTACATTACCTATCCTTACCTAAAACTCCTGCAGTTAACTTTTCAAAATTTCAGTCAATTGGCTAGTTTCTTGTGCATCTTCCCTGTGCATCTACCTCAGTATCTTCAGACAGCATCACCTTTTCTTCAACAGAATTGTTTCCCTTTGTGTCTTCAGAACCTCATTCTTGAGTTTCCCATCTCTTGGGGACTGACTTCTTCCATAGGATATTAAGTCATTGGAATCCTTCCTATCTTTTCTCTAAAGTGTCTGAAATCTGCTCTTTCAAAGTCTGGGATGCACACCAGACTCTGCTCAGCTTTCCTCTTCTGTATCACAAACTCCAAGATGGAACTGTAACTTTCCCATAATTTTCTAATTAGTCCTATCCTAGCAAGCATTTTCTCTCTGATAACAAGAATCAGATCCAGATTAGAACTTCCCTTTGTGGATTTCTCTATCTTTTGAAGGAATAAATTATCATTAAACAAGTCAAGAAATGATTAGCCTTTGACAAAGAAAGAGAGGTCCGATGAATGGAGAAATAACAAAATCTCCCATCGCAGCTACATCATGTCCGGGTGCCAGGCTTATGAGATATCTCCCAAACACCACAACTATTTCCTTGCTGTCCAAATGATCTGTCCATCTGTCCATACACCAATGATATTATTGTTTCTTTTTCTGCCCCAATTTGTTATCACCCAAATGCTCTCACCAAGCTTACTCTCCCTTGGTTCCTAGGCTTCCTCATATATTATTTTCCTGATATATAATACTACTCTACCCCTATCTCAGACTTTTACCTAATTTGTTTCTTCTGAAAAAAGGTATGAAGTGCTAGAACCAATCACAAGTCTCATTCTACCAAGTCTCAATGATACCTGTAAGGTAACATTTTCCTCCTTTTGTTAGACTCTCCAGTTTACCTTGCTTTTTACACATACTTTGTTCCTTTGAATAAAGACACCTGAGGTCCCTGGTTTTATTAATGGATTCAAATTCCTGTTTTGCCAATTAATAGCTGTGTGACCTTAAACAAGTCACCACCTCAGTTTACTCTTCTACAAGATGGGGATGATAACCGTAAGACATATATCACATGTTATCTCAGAGAGGTCAAGAAACTTGCCCAAGGTTACAGTGTACTAAAGAAAGGATTCTAACTCAGGTTTCCTAAGCCCAAATTCACCATTTCTACCCCCCAGATGGGTATTATCTCCTAGATGATTTTTGAGGTCCTAAATAGGTCTAAGATTCCATGATTTACAATTTTTCTCTTTTCAATTTGTACAGGACTACTATATTTTAAAATATACATCTTTGTATACAAAGGTTCAACTTTTTGTTAGGAGTAACATCAACATGTACTCACAATTAGAAATTTAAGAAAACGCTTCTAAAATATAAATTATGTCTTATTTTTAGGCATAAGTATACATTTCATGTAGGTGCTCATTAAAACTACGTATGCAATAAATTTTTTTAAGTCAAACCATATTTTAAATGATTAGGAGAGGTAGGGAACATCAGAGGAGTTCAGGAAGGGTAGGTGGAATCAATAAATGTTTGCGGCATGAACGAAATGACATGCTGGTGGTTCCCTCTCCAAGATTCCGACAAAACGGCAGAAAGGTATTCAGAGAAATTTGCATAGGCCAGGTAAATGACAACCATCTGGGTTTCTTTTTAAGAAAAAGAGGAACCTGGTAATCATTCCCATAATCACACATTTATCCCTGGAAGTTTTTTTTTCTACACAGAAAGGGGGAGAGAGGAGCATAATCCATGTGATACAAAGAAGGTTGGGGGAAGGGGGGAAATGCTCCTACAGAGTATATCTACCTCTATTATGACACTTAATTTCCGTCACTTTGACCTCACTCCATCAAAGTTGATTTCAGCTAGTTATATAACACATTATACCTGCAGGCAGCACCCAATGATTTGCTGCAATTATATTTTCTGACTCTTCTTCTAAATTTTCACTGCTGGGTCCTTCTTCATTCAGTTGGAAGACATGAAGGGCAAGAGTACATTTGCTCAAGTCAATTGGCTATGAAGAAAAAGAAAACTACACTAAAACTAAGTCCACAAATATTCAGATATTTCAATTACAATACTGTACCAAAATAAGAAGATATAAAAATGGAAATATAAAGCATAAATAAAATATGATTAAAACTCAAAGTGGGCTGCATTCTAGGCAACACCATAAAACATTAATGCTGCAATATGCTAACAAGGAAGTGGGCTTCAATACCACACCAAATTTTATTATACAAAAAGACAATCAAAATTAATTTTTTTTAACATTCACACAATGTGTGATATATTTCACATATAAAAAGATTAATGAAATTACAAGGAATGTGGTGCAATTCCTTTTTTTCTAATAGTGGTAACAGATTTATGTTGCTCCACCACACTCTTACCTTTCGACAGGTAGATGATCCAACCCCCACCCTCACTGCTACTGCTGTTCTGACCACTCACAATATGGCCAGAAAGAGTAGTGTAATCTATATATGAGACAGAGGCAAATTAACCAGCAAATACCTCCTATCAAGCTCATAGCACAGGCCTCTGTAGAGCACTGTATAATGCTAATCAACCGAGTGAACCAGTCACAAACAAGACAAACTCAAAAACATCTTATAAAAAAAGAATTAGGATTTACTGTAACAGCTGGACCTTAATGTCTAAAGGGTTAAATATCATGAATCATTTGGTACCTGTCGTTCTTTCACTTTTAACTCAGTATCAACAATAGACACAGACTGCACATTTCTGGACAGAAAAGCATCATCAAACTCGGTCCATGTGTAATCTCCAAACACGATATTATGTCTATTTAGTAGCTTTACAACACTCAGCTTTATTTCTTCTTTTTTTGCAGTGCTATTAAACAGAAAAACAAAAACGCTGTTGAGTTCAAATTTATGTTTTTCTACTAGCAAATGGTTAAGAATCTATCCATTAAAATGCAATGCTGACATTCTGATTGCTACACCTTGCTGAAATAACAGCTCATTAAGGAAATAAAGTTTATGGTTAACTAATTTTTCATAAGATTAAATGAAATAAAATAAACTGATTCATAGAATGTATTCTTAGAAGAATTAATTGTTTTAAATTCCCAGGGGTCAAGAATCACCTTCAGCAAGTTTTAGAAGTACTTGACATGGTATGAATGCTGAATAAATATCCATTATGGCAATAAATGGTATTCTTCCTATTTCCAAAGTCAACTATAGAATTCAATCAGTCTGAGAGAGGAACATAATATTATTTATTTTCAGTAAGACCTGTGAATACTTCAGTTAATAATATCTCTGCTTTGTTCTGGGAATAGTTTACCTGAAACACAGAAAGGAGATATAATTCATAGAATGTCAGCGATAGAAAGAACCTCAGAAGTTATTTAGTTTAACACATATCTAAAACAGAATTCCCCCTACAACCTACCCAACAAATGGTCATCTAGCTTTTGTTTGAATATCTACAATGAGAGGAACCCACTCTCTACTGAGGAAAGCAATTCCAATTTGGAAGAGTCTACAGGGTTAACAAATTTTTCCTGACACAAAGCTCACACATATCTCTGCAACTGCCACCTATTGCTTCTAGTTTTGTCCTTTGGGGTCAAACAAAACAAGTCAAAACTCTCTTATTAATTACATCCCTTCAACTACTCAAAGACAGATATATTATCTCCTTCTCCCACCCCAGTTTTCTCTTCTCTAGGCTAATCATCTCAAGTTCCTTCAACCACTTCTTATAACACAAATTTAAGGCCTACCCGTCACCATCCCATTTGTCCTACTTGAGAAATTCACTTCACAAGTATTGATGAAGCTCCTACTTTGCAAAAAGCACTATGCTAAGTGCCCAGCATACAAAAACAAAAACCAAACCTTCTTTTGCCCTTAAGGAACTCACATTTTACGATGGGGTATAATACATACAGCTAAGTAAATATAACATCATTTGAGGAAGGATATTATACTAATAATCAGAAGCAATCAGGAAAGGCTTCCTGCTGGAGACAGCACCTGAGCTGAAACTTGAAGAAAGGTAGGGATCTAGGGATTCTAGAAATTGAAGATGAAGAGTCAGCGCATTTCATCCAGCTGACATTTGGTGACATAGGATAGGAATTTAGAAGATAAATTCTGGCTGGATATGTAGCTTTGGGAGTCAAAAGGCATAGAGATGGTTATAGAACCCATTAATATTTACCAGATCACAAAAAAATGTTGAGAGAAAAGAAGGCCAAGGACAGAGGCTGGGGGACAATCATCCTTAGTGGGCAAAAGAAGAAAGATAAGCCAATTAAAAGGGCTGAGAATGAATGGTCAAACAGGCAGAGGAAGACAGAATATTGTCACAGAGGCCAAGAAGTTAAGCATATCCAGGAGGAAGGTGTGGTCAACAGTGTTAAAACTAGAGAAATCAAAATGATGACTGAGAAAAGGCCACTGGTAGCCTCTGAGAACGCATTTTTAGTTGAGTAAAGGGTTTGGAAGATATACGGCAAGGGCTTTGAAGTGAGGTAAAGAAATGGAGATAAGTAGACAATGAACTTTTCTAGGGATTTGGCTGGGAAAAGAAGGTGAGAGATAGAATATTAGGATGAGGGAATGCAGTCCAAGCAAGGATTTTTAAAGGATGAAAGAGACCTGAATGTGTTCATATACATCTGGGAAAGATCTAGTGGACAGAGACAGGAAGGAGAGGACATGATCAAGAAGAGCAAGCTCCTAGAAGAGAGAGGAGGGAATGAGACCAAGGGTACAACAAAGGGACTGGCTATGGCAAGGAAAAGAAAATGGGAGATGATGTAGTTGATCTGTATCATGAAACAAAGATGAAGGAGTTCACAGCACATGGCCAAAGCCAAGGCCCTCTGTGGCAAGAAGGAATAAGGACAGAATAGTACAGGAAACCTGAGGAGGAAAAAAGGTTTTGCCCAGTGGGCTATAGGAAATATGGTCACAAAAGGAAGAATAAAAGGATCGTCATATAGTAAAGAGTTAAAATAAGGGACAGGGACTGGGTCTATGATTTCATGGGTACAGGTAACTCTCAGTTGAGGGAACTCTCTCTTCCGATACAGGCCATCATCTTCTCTTCGACCTAAAATCTTAGAGAGCTGCCTAGACTACTAAGAGGTTAAGTGACTTGCCCAGAGTCATACAGCCAATGTGTGTTGAAGGTAGGATTTGAAGAGGTATTCCTGGCTTCCGCTCTCTATTCACTACTCCTAGATGTCAAGGTAAGTTGACAAATGTGTGGTGGCCTTACTGTGTCACTTTCTCCAGCAGGAGTAAGTAGAAGCTGAGAAAGTGGGCGGGAAGAGTACCTCAGCGCTGTGGTCTGGTAAGGTATGAGCAACCACGATACAAAAGGGCAAGAAATTCAAGAGTATGAATTAGTACTAGAACCTAGGGTGGCTAGTTTAACATTCCATAAATAAAGGAACATAACATAGAAGAAAGAGTACTGAACTTGCGAACCAGGAGGCCTGCATTCTAATTCTGACCCTACCACTAACTAGCCCTGTAACCTCAGTCACTTCACTTCAGCATCATCACTGTTAAAATGTACAAGTCAGAGAAGCTTATCTCTAAGGTCTCACTGAGCTTCAAAATTTAATTATTCTACAGTATTTACTGAATTCAGATTCAGGTCAAAGTTGAGGGTGAGAAACGATTATAGTCTAATGCATGCCCACTTCTTCAGTAGCTCAGTGCCGTCCTCATTACCACCCTATGCTTCCCGGACCCCCTTGACTTGATGGAGTACCTGCAGTATCAATGCTCAGCTCTTATTCTTGGGCCACAGAGCCAATTAATCTTTTCATTCATTTTATTTCGACTCCCTTACTATTTCAAATATCACTGTTAGGCTTTTAAACCTATAGGATGGCTCCTGAAATACTTCCCCTGCTATTGATTTTATAAGTCACTTAACCTTGTTTGCCTCAGCTCCTCATCTGTGAAATGAGCTGGAGAAGGAAATGGCAAACCACTCCAGTATCTTTGCCAAGAAAGAGTTGGATGAGTGACTGAAATGACCACACAAACAAATGACTTGTTTTGTATATACTTTGCATTTAATTTACTTAGCTACTCATTGAACTGAATTGAATTCTTTACACTATTCAAGTCCAATCTTCCCAATCTCATCCTCCAACAGTACTAGTCATCAGCAAGTTTTTCCTAACATCACAAGCCTAAATTTATCCCCGCAACTTCTATGAATTGGTCCTTCTGTTTCTGCCCTCTGGGGCCCCACACAACAAATCTAATCCCTTTTCTACATGATAACCCTACAAATACCTGAACACTGTTAAGTCTTCTCTAGCCCAGGTTAAATATTCCCAGTTCCTTCAACTTATCCTCATGAAGTGTACCTAAGGCTCTTCACTATCCTGGATGTCCACCTTTGGATGTACTCTACCTAATTAATTGTATATTAGAGTGTGGTGGATCAGAATGAACTAATATTCCACATATTGTTTAAGCAGGGCAAAGAAGGACTAGCACCTATTTATTCTTGGAAAATATCTTCCTTTTAATGTAGCCCAATGTCACATTAGCTTTTTGGCTACCACCACATCACACTGTTAACTCACACGCTTGTAATTCATTAAAACCTCCAGATGATTTTCAGGCTAACTGTTCTAACCATGCCTTGATCTTACACTTGTGAAGTTGATCTCTTGAGCTAAAGTGTCAATTTTCACATTTATTCCTACTGAATTTCAACTTATTAGATTAAGCTCTATACTCTTAACTTGTCAAGAATTCTTTTGGGTCATGACTCTGCCTTCCAGTCTGCCAGCTATCCCTCCCAGCTTTGAATTATCCAAAAATCTAAGATGCATGTTCTCTATGCTTTTATCCAAGTCACTGATAAATCTAAGGTCAGATCCCTAGGGCACTCCAACAGAGACCTCATGGTTGAGATGACAATGAAGCATTACTGACCTCTCTGAGTCTGGCCATTTAACCAGCTCAAAATTTTATTACCATTTAATCCATCTCTCTCCATTTGAAATGAATGAAAAAACATTTGTTAAGTGTTCACCGTGAAAGTACCTATACTACCTAAACTCTAAGGATACAAATGAAGGGTGTCCCTGCCCCATTATATTAAATGAGATAACATTTGCAAAAAGTGTTTAGCACAGTAGCTCTTCCTCCTCTCTCCCTTCCCCACCAAAATAACCAAGGAAGACAGCACATACCAGAGAATGGTGGCTAGGGAAAGGAGTTCTGGTTTGGGAAATCTCAAGAGTTGTCAGTAATCAAATGACAACCCTCTCTACAGTAATGGTACTCTCATCTGATTACTATGCCCACAGCAAGAAGTGCAAAAGGGAGTGAGAGAGCAAGCTGAGGCAGGAGGCAAAAAAGCAGGTCTTCTGACTCCAAGGCCAGTCATCTATCTCCTACCTCATGCTTACTGAGTATAGAAGTTGCTATACATCAGAGGTGTCATATTGAAAAATATGACTTTGAGAAGCTTTCCTCTAGAGCATCACTTCACAAAGGAGAGAAAAGCCTAAAGAAAAATAGTTACAGTGTACCTTACTTGCAAAGTGACTAAAATGTACAGATATCCTACTGCTAGGCATGTATTCCAAGGTGGTCAAAGATAGAAAGAAAGGTATCATACACAATGAAATATCTATAGTAGCACTTTTTAGAGGAGTGAAGACCTAGGAACAAAGTTGGGGTCCATCAAGTGGGGAGTGACTAAACAAAACCATGGCACAAGAATATAATGGCATATTGCTACCCTCTTAAGAACCAGGGAAGCATGGGAAGACATGGGAACAGACGCAAAGGGAAGGAAGCAGAACCAAGAAAACATTACACAAAAGGTGATCGGTCTAGAGCTGGAGGGGATCTCAGAGAGGGTCTAGTTCAATATCCTCCTTTCACATATGAGGAAAGTGAGGCCCAGGAAGATTGAGAGCTTTGCCCAAGGTCAAAATGCATTGTCAAAGATAGCATCTGAACAGAAGTCCTGATTCCAGGGTCAGTGCGCTTTCCACTAATGCCTGTCAACACAATTACTACAAAGAGTGTAAATATAAATAACATTAACAATCAATCAATAAACAGGTATTAAGTACATACTAGGTAAAAGCACTGTGTTAAGGCTGAGGACACAAAAAGAGGCAAAAGACAGTCCCTGTCCTCAAGAAGGTCACAGTCTAACAAAGCAAAACTGAATACCCTATAAATACAATACACCAATATAACGACCAAGCATGGATTGTGAGGAAGATACGAGAATGCACCTCCCTCCCTGTTCTGCAAAGGGGCTTGTGTATAAGCGTCTAGCACTGGCCTACACTGTCAGATCCTGTTGAAGTAGTATTGTTCTCTGGAAAAAAAGACACATAGGAAATAAAGCTGATGTAGAAAAAAAAAAGATGTTAGTTGATGTATTATTGTTCTCTGCAGAAAAGACTTATATTAGGAAATAAATGTAGTAAGAAAAGATATTAATTGACATATTATTGTGCTCTGAAAAAATATATTAGAAAAATATATTATTAATGTTAAAAATATATAAGGAAATAAAGCTGATATAAACAGAAAAGATATTAGTTGATGTATTGCTGCTATCTGTAGAAAAGGACATATTAGAAAGTAAAGTTGATGAAAAAGTAAATATATTAGTTGATATATTTCCTGCGGAAAAATATATTAATATTAATTAAATATTAAAATGTTAATGTTAACATTAAAATGTTAAGAAATAAAGGTGAAGCAGAAAGAGAAGATGGTTAGTAAGAAGCCTAAGTGTCCTGAGGTGGGGCTGCCCAGACGGGCAGGGGGAGCTGGGAACCCCTCTGGGAGGGCTTCCTGGGGTGGGGGCTGACCTGTTGCAGCGCAGATGCACCTCCACGTTGATCACGGGTGACTCCAACACGCAAGGGAGCGCCTGCTTCAGGTCCCCGACTGCCTCGTCCATCCCGCCACCTCTGAGGGAGGAACCCGGGGAGAGAAGAGCGGGCGGGCTCCGGTCAACCCGGCGGCCAGGCAGCCCCGTCCGCCCGCCCGGCCCCGCGCCGCCCTGCCCCGCCTCGCGCCACTCCCCCAGCCCCAAGCCCCGAGCCCCGAGCCCCGAGCCCCGAGCCCCGAGAGCGAAGCGAGCCCACTCTCACCGTCCGCCCAAAGCAGCTCGAATCTGCCGCCAGCGACAGCTTGACCCCGCGACCCGGAACTACTAGGGTCATGCCCGCCTCCCAACACCGCGGGAGGAGGAGTCACTTCCGGTCCTCGCCCAGCGGTGCTTGGGCTTTCCCCCTCCCTGCCTCTCTCCCAATCCCCGCGGCGCGGAGGGAGCCCGAGGGGCGGAGAAAAGAGCCGAAGAGCCGGGGGGGGGGGGGGGGGGCGGGCGGGCGGGGAGGAAGGCCGCCGGGGGGGGGATCGGCGCCGCCGCCTTCTCCTTGCCTCTCCCGGGTGCTGCGGGGGGCCGCGGGGGGCGCCTGAGCCCCCCGCCTGCTGCGGCCTCCCCGCCATGGGGAAGAAGCACAAGAAGCACAAGACCGAGTGGCGATCGTCGTACAACGGTGAGTGCAGCCCGGGCCGCGGTGCGGGAGAGGGCGGAGAGTGGGGCCGAGATGGACCTGGGGGGGGTTGTCTCGGGACCGGGCGGCCGGCGTTCTTTCGGCGCGCTCGCCACAATGCCGGCTTTGTGACGACACAGGGGCCCGGCATTCCAGAACCCCCGGGGGAGGGGCGACCCCCCAGGCCGCGCGCCTCCGCTGGGGGGGCTCCCCCGTCCCCGCCGGGCACGTGACCGTGTTTGGAGGAGGTGTTTGTCCCGGGGCTGATCTGTGGGGGTGGCCCCCGCAGGGGAGGGGAGCGAGGGGGCGTTGGGGGGGTCGTGCCCACCGACAGCTGGAGTGGACCGCTTCCGTCCCAGCCAGCTTCCTCACTTTACAGATGAGGAAACTGAGGCCGAAGGGGAAGTGACTTGTCCAAGGTCACTGTGGTAGTAAGTTCTCTGAGCGCTTAATCGATATTTATTGATTATTGATTGATTCGTTAGATTGTAAGCTCTTTGAGAGGAGGGATTCTTTTGCCTTTTTTGCTTAGCGCAGTGTCTGGCACGTAGTAGACATTTAAGTAGATATTTATTGACTTGAATTGAATTCTAGTACATTGTGTCAGTGATTGTAGAGTATCCTTGTGAGCGTTCTTGTTTTCTGAAAGTAACTCTGTTAGGTTGCGTTGCCCGGTTGCGTTGCCCATACTGTTAAGTGACATTGCCCTTACTCTGCTAGGTGGCATTGCTGGTACTCTGCCTGTACTCTTCGAGGTGTCATTGCCCATATTCTGCTGGGTGGCATTCATTGCTCCTGGCTGCAGCTGCTTTAGACCAGAGGATAACTTTTCCTAGGGGTGGACAAATGAGGGGAACTCCCAACCTCTGGAGCTTATTCCTGCTGCATTTGAAAAGCAGAGAACTGGGCTCAGAGGCAGTCTTTGATCCAGAATCTTACTCTTGTCTTCCCTCTGCTGAAGGGGTCTTTCAGAAAAGATCCTTCCTGTAGACTAGTTTTTGCTAGTGGCTTTGAAAATTAAACCGTCCCACATGGTAGTCATCAGAGATCCCAGAGAGGAGAGAATTCCTTGATTTCTGAAGGATTAAGGAGTATATTTTACTGTGTATTTTACAGCCCCTGCACTGTTCTGTGGCAGTGAAATGCCTGGATCATGTCAAAATGTGTCTCACTGTGCCCCATCACCTTACCACATCATATCCCAGCTACCTGGACCAGCCACCTGGCTCCTCTTATCAGTTTTAGCATAACTGTACAAGCCCACCCCCTTTTTTGTTCACTATAATCAAGCAATGATAATAGAATATTTTTGTTAAAATAAACAAAAACCAGGCAGAAGTTAAGTGACTTGCAGTAGTTTCTCTTGCTTCTACTTTCTGTTCAAGTGGCCTTGGAAGCTTTGAGGCCTTATCTCTCCTATCCTTAGTTCCTATCCTGGGTTTGCTCTGACTTGGAGCTCAGCCAAGTAGAGAGGCCTGGTTTTGCAGATTTTCTGAATATCTTTGTTTATTTGTCCTTCTCTTCAAATGGGGAAGAGAGCCATGTTCTTTAGCATCTAGGGAGGCCCCAGTGGTTTTAAGATCATAGTCTTAGAGGTAGAATGCATCTTAGAGGTCATTTTATCCAGCCTCCTCATTTTATGTAATCATAACCTCCTTTATAGGAAGGAATTGTATACCTTATCTTTATAGGCTTATTATATAGAAGCCATTATTGATTTATATATTGTAATAATTTACTTGTAGTTGATATACTGATGATCCCTATTTTGAATACCTCTCTAGAGCAAAACTGTAGTTATTTTCTAAGGTTCAACTGTGCTGGCAGGCCAAGAGGAAGGAAAAAAAATCCCAGAAATCCTGGCTTTGTAGTAGATTTGGGTGCTGAAGACAACAGCTAGTGGAAACTGGTTGTTTCTCCCTCCCTCAACACACCTAGATCTTCTTAATAATGTTCTAGACAAACTGACCTCCTATATGGCATTCTATCTCCCTCCATGATCTTTTGCACAGAATATTTCCTCTGCCTGAAATGCTTTCCCTGTTTATTTCTGTTTGGACCCCCACCTTCCTTCAGGGTTCATTTCAAGTGCTATCTCCTACAGGAGCACTTTACTAGTCCTTCCAATTGACTGGGTTCTTCCACCTTCCCCCAACTTTGTCCTTATTTTATATACATTTTGTATTTATTTGCCTATGTAGATATTGTTTTCTCCCCAGTGGTATATAAGCTCTTTGAGGGACCCTGTGTAGTTTTTATCCTTGTATCATCATTGCTTAGCTCTCCCTTTTATCTAGTAGGCACTTAATAAGTTTTTGTTGAATTGAATTTTTATCATATTCTTTCAGAATCTTTCTCCCTTAATTTTGCTGCATTATGTCTAATTCTGCCTTTGGGAGCTAACTGAAGAGAACAAATTTCATGTTCCACATGACAATCTGTGCCCCATAGTCTTCTCCAGGCCAAAAGTCTTCACTCTTACTGCTTGTGTGACCTTGAACAAGGCATTTAAGCTCTCTGGTCTTAGTCATTTTATGTATAAAATGACATCTAACCTCATTTGTCAGGTAATCTCTAAGGTTTCTTCCACCTTTAAATTTTATGACCCATATTTCTTCAGTTGATCTTATTAATTAATTCTTAATTTTAAGTCCTCTCAACTCTCCTTGCCACTCTCACTACACTGTGCTCCAGTTTATCATTGACCCCTTTGACATTTGGTGTCTAGGTGGGCACCAAATACTTCAGATGTGATCTAACTAGGTCATTGTATGGCAAGATTCACTTGGTCTGGACCTCACACAGTATATTAATTTGATCTAAGTTGTAATAGCTCTTTGGGCTGCTACATCATACTCCTGAGTCTTTGAGGTTGTAGTCCACTAGATCGTCAGAGGCTTTTTTGTATGAACTGCTTGCTAGTCAAGCCCTCCTCACTGCTATCTTTTTTGTAATTTTTTTTTAACCCAAGTGCAGGACTTGATACTTAACTAAATTCATTTTCACTGCATTAGCTTTTAGTTCACTGTTTAGCCTGTCAGGGTCTTTTTGGAACATGATTTCTGTAATCAAGGGAATTAGAGATGTTTCTCCAGCTTTGTGTCATTTGCAGATTTGATAAGCTTGCCTTCTTTTTTCTTTGTTCACATCTTTGACAAATTGTTAAACAAATCGAGTCAATTGACAACTCTGTGGAACCCCAATAGTGATCTCCCTCCACGTTAATGTTGACCAACTAATCCATAGTCTTTGGCTCTCATCTTAGAAACCCATCTTTTTGTTTCCTAACTAGTATTTTGTTTAACCATTACTTCTTGCCTTCACCTCTCCTGACCCCAGTACTGCTGAAAGTGACCTTTAGGTTGCTGCTTTTGAGGAAATTTAAAAAAAAATTTTTTTTTTTAGTTTTAGGCAATTGGGGTTAAGTGACTTGCCCAGGGTCACACAGCTAGTAAGTGTCAAGTGTTTGGTTTGAGGCCGAATTTGAACTCAAGTCCTCCTGACTTCAGGGCCGATGCTCTATCTCCTGCGCCATCTAGCTACCCCTAGGTTGCTGCTTTTGACCTGCTTCTGTGGCCATAGCACTGCTCCTTCTATGCTTTAAAATGCCCTCTTCAGTATACCCAGCTTGGCCTCCTGCAGTGTCAGCCACTCTTCCAGTATCATTGCCCATTTATCTGCTTCTATGACATTTGTACCAGACTGGTAGCCTCTGTGGTAGTGCAGGGAGGAGGTGGTAGGGAGATGGTGTGAGGAAGGGGAATGCAAGACTCCTCAACGCCAGTGCCCTAACTATACTTGGCCTTTCAGGCTGGGCCTAGCCAAACCCTCTTTCTCCTTCCCCCCCATCTGTAGCCTGTGGGCCATGTGGAGTAGGGAGCTATCAAGATGTGGAAGGGAGGGGAGACAGCTTCCATCCTAGAAAGGTAGGAAGGAGTTTGTCAGCTAGATGGTGTTTCTTTAAATAAAAAATCTTTGTTATAAAACTTAAAAGTGATTTCTATAAAGAACATGTGTTTTGATTTAGATTATGTAGACAAGCCCTTGGAGAAGCCATTGAAACTAGTCCTTAAAGTTGGAGGAAGTGAGGTTACTGAGCTCTCGGGATCAGGCCACGATTCTAGTTATTATGACGACAGATCAGATCATGAGCGAGAACGTCATAAAGAAAAGAAAAAGAAAAAGAAAAAGAAGTCTGAAAAGGAAAAAGAAAAGCATCTTGATGATGAGGAAAGGAGGAAAAGAAAGGTAAGTAATATCGGAGCAACCCATGATAATAGTGTTTTGACAACTGGAAATGCCATTTGTCTCTGTACGTTTCTGTCAGAATTTTTTCTTCCCAAAAATGTTTTCATAGAAACTTTTTTTAAAAAAAAATCAGCCAGGTCAACAAGATGAGCTTGGGATCATAGATTTAGAACTAGAAGTGATCTTAGAGTTAATCTAGTCTTTGCCCTCATTTTATAGATGAGAAAACTGAGTCTCAGAGAGGTTAAGAGATTTGTCCAAGATCACACCAGTATTAACTAGCAGAGCTGGTGGTTACATCCAGGGCCTCTGACTCCATATTTTTCAATGTATTATTAAATTGTCTCCCTATGATATAGTTTTCTCCAAAGGAAATTCTGTTCCTTCATA